GTGCCTCCCTTCGTCCCCCCACTCTCTCCCAGTACTTATGTTGGCCTCCTCAACTGCCCTTTTCTCCAGGGTTGGGCGGGGAGGGGACCTAGGTCCCCCTCTTATCTGTGACCTTTCTCCCATTCTGGAGCTGCCGAAGTGAATGTTAAGAGCCCTGAAGTGCTTTAAATAATTGTCAGCGTAGCTAGTCATTTCCAGTTCCCTTACACATAGATTGTAGCATTTTCCTTATGCTGTTAGAATGGCTGTGTCGTATTTGGCTAATTCTCCCTGAATTTGGGGAAAGAGATTTAAATGAAGCTCAGAACTCAGGAATCTCTCGTGTGGGAGAGATGGCTTGCCAAAGCCAGAGAGAAAATTCTTACCTTTTTTTCCCAAACTGGTAAGCAAAAAATACTTTAGAGATTATGGACACTAATCCCCTTTTTACTATTTTGGCCCAAAGGTTTACTGCCTTCATCTCTCTTGGCTTTTGCTTCGCAAAACTGACTAGCTGTCTCCAAAATATTCTAATTCCCTCCTCTTCTTGATGTAGTGAGTCTCTTTTTTTCTGGAAGATATGTTTAAACAAGATGGCCTAAAATTGCCATGTTCTTTGGTGAGAAGATAAATAATACATTTGATTATGAGCCTTTCTCTCAATTCTTTTGAGCTAAGGCTCCCTTTAACATAAAACAAAATTTTCTTCAAGGCACCTTTCCTAATCCATGTTCCTTTTAACTGCATAACGTCCTAAGGCAGCTGCTCTCAATATCCTATGTATTCCCCTCTACCTCAGTCTGAAACCTGGTCTTCATTTGGGCCTCAGGGCACAGGTATAGGAGGGCTAATCCGTTTCAGCTGGTAGGTCATCTCATGTTCCCACACCCCACCCTCAAAAAAGCCCAGGCTAAAAATAGGGGGCTCTTGGTTCCGGTTTCTGGCAATCACTTCCCTGACAAACAGCCGGTGACCTTGGGCACTAACCCAAATAACTTCTCACTGGCGATTTTCTTATGTGTAAAATGAGGAGATTCGATGGAAGGAGTGATGACGCTAACTCTATAAAATGCAGTAAACAGGGATGAGAAGGGAACATGGAAGGTTTTAGGCCTCCTGGCTGTGGCTTCAAGGAGGTGGAGCCCTGAAAAGGTCTAAAGTAGCAAAAATTTAGAATCAGGCCTCCAGAACTTCTGTCACCTAATCCTCCCGAATCACATCAGACCCGAAACTTCCAGAGAATGCCAGAATCTGCTCCACCTCCTTCCCTTTTTAGAAAGGCCAGTCAGGCTTAGTCAAGAGAAGTTTCTGAGGCCCTTCATTTCTGGGGCTATGGTTCAGAGGCCAGTCTGGGTGAGTCTTCAGCGATACCTGGCATCCCCCCCAGGCCTCTTTTGTTGCATTTTACCTAACCTTGTGCTATTTAGATAATCCTTCATTGCCAGAGACAGTTTTGGAAATGCAGGTCAGAAATAAAAGGCCACCGGGAGTCCCCAATAAACAACTTCCTTGTTTTCTAAAGACTCAAGGAATTTGCATTTCCCAGCCCCCTCCTGCTGCCCACATTCCCCGAGCTGATCTCTGGAACAATGACTGCACAAAAGTTCAGCTCCCTCCTCCTTAGACAGCAGCCAACTCCCACTGCAGGAAAAACCCACAGAGATGACGCAGCTCAGAGCTCCATTATGCAGAAGAGAAGTCATTGTTTTCTAGGGGATTTTGGACAACTAAAAATGTACTCGGAGAAAGTCTAAAAATCAACCACTGAAATCCACCAGACACACCATTACCTCACAGAGAGCTGAGGGCAATTCTAGCAAAAACAAGTTACAGAAACTAAAAACGGCTGCGTCATCAGCCTTCCCCAAAATGCTGTTGGGGAGAGGCAGCCTGGGCCTCTCCCTCTCAGGCACTGAACATCTCTAGGCTGAAGAGTAAAGGAAACATTCTCCTCTTGTCTTCCTGAGAAGACCATCCGTCTTTTAAGTGTACCCTCCTCCAAGACATAGCAGAAGGATTCTGTGTTGGTAGAATTCTCTTTCTGGGGGAGAACACAGGAGAAATCATCTTGAAAAAGAGATTTCTCAACCCCAGTTCGAGAACTCCATGCTGCTAGTTCCTCCCTTCTTTAGTTTATTCGCCACGTAATGTCCTTGGCCCTGGGCCGTGCAGCCTGTTTGTGGATCTTTCCAGAAGGCCTGGCTGTGGAAGCCCAGCTGTAGCACTGTGGGGTGTGGGAGGACAGAATGACAACAAGGGGCAGAACGCAGCTCTCCAGACCAGCTGCCTCAGCCTCTTTCTCCCCAGCTTAAGAGCTCAGCAAGGCCCCTCACTGGCTTCACCCAGCATTTCCAGACCTTCCTTCCCCAGGCCGTCCACCCTCCCTGTGGCCTTTCCTCTTGTCCTGGTTAACCTGGGGTGGAGATGGTCTACTGACCCCCTCCCCGGCAGAGAACAGAGTCTACCACGCTTTCCTCAGTCCCTGCATTGTGCCTGGTGCATCTGCAGGACAGGAAATTCAGCGTTATTTTCTGTAGCATTTATTGAGCACTGTGCCATACGCGTTCAATGAACCATCTCTTTTCAGTTCTCACAGCCACCCTGTGAGGGAGGTGCTGCTGTTAACCCCTTGGACAGATGAGGAAACTGAGGCCCGGGCTGTCTCTCTTGGCATTGCTAGTGCCTGGCACACATTAGGAGCTCAAAATGTGCCTACTGAACCATGACTAAATGACTAAATTGGAATAGTATCTCTTTTGGAATTAAAAAACCAGGCAGAACAGTGAAAAGAGCACATGCAGTAGATGCCTCGTAAGTGCAGAGTGACTGAGTGACTGTAACCCAGCTCGGGAGGGGCTGTGAAAGGACAGTGCGTCCCCCATCCTGGAATGTCCAGTCCAGAGACACTTGTGTAAAGCGAGCTCAGTGGTTCTCTGAGGTTTCCAGCTGTTGGTTGCGCTGTGTAAGTACTGGAGCGCGGTGGTGAGGAAGAGGCACAAGCTGACATGCTTTGACAGGAACAAAATGCTTTCAGATGTGACACAAACACGACCGTCCGGCAGGATGGAGTAAACTCCGCACTGAGCGGTACCGCGTAAGAAACCGCGGAACTTCTAGACAGACTGACCCATAGAGGTGGGGAAGGGTGTGGCACGGAAGGCTGCCTTGAGTCTCCGTGGAGCTCCTGCCTCCAGAACGCAGGGGTGTGAGCCCACCCTCAGGACTCAGGGCTTGCTGCCCCTCTGCTGGAGGCCTCACCGCGGGAAGCAGGAGGTGCTGTGTCCAGTCTCACCCGCACTGCGCGGGCCTGTGAGTGGACCTTTCAGAACAGCCTGAAGGAACTGTGAGGCTTCCCAGTGGGTCGTATCCACAGTATCCACAGTCTTATAACCCTGATCTGTTCAGTCACCCACCTGAGGTCCCAGGCAGATGCTTGTGTTAGCACCACATACCCAGCGTGGTGCTCATTAAAACTTTCACCCCTCCTACACGCACACGCACACACACACACCACACACACGTGTTCATTCTTCCTCAACCCAGCTGTGGCCCGCATCCCACAGAGACAAGTCTCATGGAACAGGGGTAGAGGTCAGCCAGTCTAGGATCTTTGCCTGAGGTGTATCTCTCAGCACATGCCAGGTAAGAACAGAAGCCCACGGCGTTATGGCTCTTTCTCTGGGGCTGATGTGACAGTACAGGCTTGCAGTGATTGCGGTGGAAGAGACCTGAAAGCTCTTTAGGTGATGGGAACTCACTAGAAAGCAGCGGAGACTGGAGTGAGGTCTGGGAGGTCTGGAGTTCCCTGAAGAGGGAGTTTGGACTCTGTTCTTTGGACAGCAGGATGGCTTCCGAGCTGGGAGAGGCCCTGGCTTTGGGAAGCATTGTGTAGCTGCTCTTTGCAAGGTGGCTGAGCTGGGAGAGGCGGCAGAGGGGACGGCCCTGGAGTCCATCTTCACAGCCCGGGCTGGAGGTCGTGGAGGCCTGGATTTGGGGGTGGTGGGGGTGGTGGGGGTGGTGGGGGTGGTGGCATGGCACAAGAGAAAGAAGACAGGTAGAGGTCTGCCTGAGGCTCTCCAGGCTCCCCACACTGGCCTCTTCCTCTGTCTCCTGAGCACCCTAGCCCTTTCCAGACTCATGTTCTTTTCTTTCTTCCATTTTTTTTTTCTTTTGGCCATGCTGTGCGGCATGCGGGATCTTAGTTCCCTGACCAGGGATGGAACCTGTGCTCCCGGCAGTGGAAGTGCAGAGTCTTAATCACTGGACCCTGCCAGGGAAGTCCCCTTTTCTTTTTTTTTAAGCATTCATGTTCATCTTTATTTATTTATTTGTTTGTTTGTAGGCACTCAATAGATGTTTATTAAAAGAAAGGTCCTTTAAATTCTATAGTGTTTTACAATTTTCAAAAGTTTCACGGGGCTTCCTTGGCGGCGCAGTGGTTAAGAATCCGCCTGCCCATGCAGGGGACTCGGGTTCCATCCCTGGGCCGGGAAGATCCCACATACCGCAGAACAACTAAGCCTGTGAGCCACAACTACTGAAGCCCACGTGCCTAGAGCCCGTGCTCCACAACAAGAGAAGCCACGGCAATGAGAAGCCCATGCACTGCAACGAAGAGTAGGCCCCGCTCACCGCAACTAGAGAAAGCCTGTGTGCAGCAACGAAGACCCAATGCAGCCAAAGATAAATGAATAAACAAATGTATTTATTAAAAAAAGTTTAACACACATGATTTCATATAATCCTGTAATAACCCTTCGTTTTCCTACCCCTATCTTGCCCCTCCCCACTTCCCTCTCCCCACTGGTAACCACTAGTTTGTTCTCTCTCTGTGAGTCCACACTCATGTTCTTTACTCTCGATGACACATCTGCATGGAATGCACCTCCCCCACTCTTCAGATGACACTCATTCTCATCACCCTGCCTGGGAAAGGGCCTAGGGCCTCTGCCCAGCACTTCCAAAGTCATCCCGTATCACCACCCCACAGTTACTCACTGTCACAGCACAGCCTGTTTTCCTGGATGAACACGTGTTCGTTAACATGTCCCCCTAACTCTTTGGAGGGTTAAGGCAACTCCAGGGTTTGCAGCCTGGTCAGCAGTGAGGATGGGGTGCGACTGCTGGAGGCTGAAATTGGGGACAGAGGGCCCTCGGGCTCACTCTCCTGCACAGACGGGAGATGGGTCTGTGCCACCCTCCCAGCGGTGAGTCCCAGCTGTGGACAAAGGGTGAGAGCTCCGCAGAGATGTCACTTGGCTCCGTTTGGTAACTTGTTGCTCTAAGGCCAGAGCTCATTCTGGTCCCTGCATTCCCAGCTCCTCTGCCCTTTACTCTGGGGAAGCAGGCCCAACGGAGTGACCTGGCTCAAGAATTGTGAAATGGTGGCAGAAGCTCTCATTCTTCCCCTTTGCCTTCCCCAGGTGCAGGAATCCCGGGGTCCCTGGGACCGTCAGTTGGGGGCCTAGCCCCCGTGTCCCATGGCAACACAATGCCCAGCATGACTGAAGTTCTGACATGTCCACGCCAGAAGTGCCTTCTGTGTCACTCAGTCTCAGGCTGCCTCAGGCCTCTTCAGCTGCAGCCCACACAAACCAAGGAAGTTTAGACTCAGCAGCGCCTGGGAAGAAGGTGGAAACAAGAAAAGCACTGGGAAAAGAGCCTGGGTGGAAATTTCCATGACTGTTCTGCCAAAGCAAAGGCTTCAGCTGAGCCCAAGGCAGAGACAGACCTGGGAGCTAGAAACCATCCAGGTCACAGAGGGTCACCCTTCCTCATTCTCCCAGATCTTTGTCACCCACTGCCCCACCCTGAACCCGGGCCATAACCCTCAATCAGCTGTGTCCCGTCTATTCCAGCCTCATTTGCTCTCAAGACCCCTAGTTCATGAGATATCCCGCCACCTCTCCCCCAGGGACACGGCTAACCTCCCGGCCAGTGGGAGCCGCCTCTTCAGGAGCCACATCGAGGCCCCTTGCCCTCCTTCCTTGCAGGAAGCCCTCCCCGCTGAATGGTCCGTCCCTCCTACAGGCGCCTGCGGCTGTCATCATCCAGTGACCTCACCAGCACTCCTGTGATCGTGCCCTTCGCCAGTGACTCACCTGTTGTTACCCTGAGCTATGGTATATGACTTTTATTGTTGTTTGTCGCTTATCCTTGCAAACAGAGTCTTCCCACAGCCCCGCCTCGGCTCAGACCAGCAATGCACGCAGCTTATTCCGCACCTACGCAGCCTGTCCTGTGTGACCTCCAGCTGGTGCTGGGGACGCTGAGAGGCTCACCCCAGGTTCCAGCTGTTCCAGCTGCTGGGCCCCAGGATCCATCCCCAGCCCAGGCTGGCATTTCCCCAGCAGGAGTTTGGCAGGAATGGTTATAGGCTTGACTTCTCTCCCCACCCCAGCCAGGATCCCAGAGAGGATGAATGATGGGGACTCAGCCCAGGGTCCTGGCCACAGCCTTCCCTGGGGCCTGTCTGGCCTTGCCCACCAGCCGTCGGCCCCAGCCTGGCAATGTGGGTGTCCTGGAGCCAAGCAGGTATCTCCTCCTTGTTCTTCCACTCAGCCTTCTCTCAGCTCCCCAGAAGACCATGGATCTCTCCCCCTCCGCACTCTGTCCCTGTCGCCCACCCCATCTGGTTCTTCAACTCTTCCACCCTTATAGAGGGGTCATGGAGAGAGTGGCCTTGAGAGATCAACACACTTGGTCTCAGCCTGGTTCCTCCCTCACTGGCTGTACCCTGTGATGGTGGCAAGTTACTTAACCTCTCTGAATCAAGTTTAGTCCTCAGGGAAATAGGAATGAAATCGTGTAGTACCCCCTTCTCAGGTTGTGAGGCCGTCAGGAGCTGAGTACAGTGCCTGGCTCAAATGACGTGCCCTGCAAATGGTGTCTGTCACTACCTTCCCTCCCCCCTCGCATACTAAGCACGCAGCTGCCTCCCAGACCCCCAGATCTGACGGGAGCCAGGCACATCTTAGGAAGGGGTTAAACATTGGCAGTGACTTCTTCCTTGCCTTGGAGCAGGAAGGAGGCAGAGAAGGTAACAAAATCAGGCCAGAGGCTGGGTGGAATTTTCCAGTGCTCATAAACAGGACCATTCGGGTTGCTAACTGAGGTCACCATGGAAACGGTCACGTGTGCCTGCCTTCTGCTTATTCCAACCTGGCTAGAGGCCGATGACACAAGCTCCAGGCCTCTTCATTGGCTGCCACCTTCTCTTGCCACTGAAATCTAGCAGGAGATTGGCCAAGAGCTGTTTCTGGGCTGGAGTTAGACCTTCCCTACCCCCCAGCCAGAACCTGCTGGAAGCTGTTGTTTTGAACCAGAGGAAGATGGAAAATAGGCTGCCAGAGATGTTGCCATAGCAACTGCTTTCCTTTCTGCTCTCCTTGGAGTTAGTAGTTGACTTCTTTGTAGTTGAAGTACTTTTCCAAAGGCAGAGGGAGTGGCAGCCATTTTATACTGACCTAACCTTCTTCTTTTGAATTTCTGAGCCTCTGCTTACGGCTTTGGTTACCAATCCACCCCTGGCTTCTGTGAAATGGGATACTCATTCCAGGACACCTTACCTTCTAGGGCTGGAGTAAGTTTGCAAAGGCTCACTGTAAACTAAAGCTCTGTGCACTCGCCACGTGGCTTTAATTGACCGGCTTTGACATGAGCATAGAGTGGAATGGCCCTATGAGGTGGGGTTGGGGGCCCTACCAACTTGTGCAGCAAAGCCCGGAGCCCCAGGACTCAGGGGCCCCTTTGAAGTCCACTTACTGTTCTGTCACTGGGACCATCAGCTGTTCACATAGTCCCCCCAAAGACTCCCTTTCTCTTTCTGTAAGAGGATTCCTCTGTAGATGATCTCAGAAGGCCCGTTCCAGCTCTGACATTCCATAAACCTAAGTTAAAGGCCTGCCTGCCCTCCACAATAAATCTGTGGACCTTATCATCCCCATGGGAGGTAAAAATACAGGCAACTGCCGTACACCGAGCACTTTCTAGGCGGCAGGCACCGCCCATGCACCGGCTCAATCTTCACAGCAACCTTAGAAGGTGAGGATCATTATTACAGCTCCCACTCATTTTACAGATGTGGAAACTGAGGCCCTGAGAAGTCAGGTAAACTGGTCCGAGGTCACACAGCCAGCAAGCGGCAAGGTCTAGATTTAAAGCCTGGTGGACTGGCAGCTGGTGTTTGAGAAACACAGGCTTGGGAAGGATTGTTTGAAACTGGGGCCCACACACCAGTACTGCCCCACGGTACTGTCTGCTGTGATTTTTCCAGAAAGCAAAATACATTCCATTTTGACTGGCCTTTATCAGAGTTGCAGCCCTTACTGGATCTTTGATGTTATAAAGTCCTTTTTCTTATGAAATGATGGTGAGAGCAGATGGTAGCTATTTTGTTGTCATGTTCTTTTTGTTGTTGTTGTTGTCACGTTCTTATTTGGGAAAAGTTGGCTAATTGAGAAAAGGCTAACCTTATATCAATATATCCAACTTTTTTTTTTTTTTTTTTTTTTTTTTTT